GATATATATATATATATATATATATATATATATGTATATATATATATATGATGATGATGATTTTGCCTTTGTGGTGTCGATAGCCTGGGAATGCGAATTTCATTCGTGTCTGTTTACTCCACTGTTTTGTCTATGGTCGGTACCTGAAATCTCTATATTTGTCGCTCTGCTTAATGTGAATAAATATCAACTTAACAGGTAGACGACTGGGTTCGAAGTATTTTGTTTACTAATTATACCTGTCTTTCGAATTCCTATAGAAATTCAGACGGTAACTGTAACTGCCAATCAGAAATGTTTATCGAAACATATGTAGCCGGAAATTAAATGTGCCATTGATAATTATGCGATCTGCTCACACTGTTGCTTTTTTTAAGGGGGGGGGGGTGTGTGGTGAACCGCGCTCCATCGCGTATGATTTTATTCTTTTTGATTACTTTAGTGCTTCAACGTGTGTATGCGTCTTACTTGTTTCCTCCAGCCAGTCTGTTGGTTGATTTTATACCGACATTCAAGGTTCTAATTGCTCATCCGTCACTTGGGTGGAACTGGACCTCTGAATGCGCACATCTTTTGCCTGGTGATCCACTCGAACTGTGGGGGGAAATGTGGAACTAGTCTTGCTCTATGTTTTTTTTAATGTAACTAGAAATTGTCTGATCAGGAATTGATGCATTATGCAGGCTGTGAAGAGGAAGGGAGAATAAGATGAAAATACTAACCCGATTGTGACCCCTTTCCGGTAGAAATAAACTCATCTGGGCATGATTAGTTTGAAGGATAATCTGGTATCGAACATTATGACGAAGTGCATGAAGTTTCCTGCCTTCTCTCCCTTCCTCCTTGATTTCACGTACAACCACAATACTCGCACAAATTCGAGCCTCGTATTGAAGTAAGTGGGCTAACGAAATACCGAAATCCTACTCAAGGGTTGCTGCGCACTGGACCTGCGTGAGCGAGAGAAAGAGTCAAATCGGATACGAGAGAAATTGAAGCACAAAGAACTCACTGTGTGAAACTCACCGATGCTTTTCCGAATTCAAGCGAGTAGGTGCCCTGAAAATGTAATGTTCCACGGAAATAGACGAACAACTTTTCTTGATGGAAAATTATCCTAA